ACTGGTCGCCGCGGCCGCGGATGCGCCTGCGCGGCGGCGGGCTGGGCCGTCTCCCTGCGCCCGCCCCTCACCCCCGGCTCGGTGGTGCTCGCCTGGCTCGGCCGCCTGCTCGCCTCGGGCTCGCCTCGGCGCGCTCCGCGGCCCCCGCTGGGACGAGGGCCGGTGATAAGGCAGCGGCGAGGTGCTGCCTACGTGGGAGGCTGGGGATGCTCGCGCTTACTTCCCGCGTGAGGGAGTTGGAGGATGAGCTAATGGAGGAAAGGTCCTCACAGCGAGAGGAACGTGGAGGAAGCGCTCGGGCCATCCTGCGCGGCCCCGCGGAGTCACTCTCCGTGGCCGGAGCTGCCCGCTTCGGACCGCCTGGCGGGGCAAACGGTCGGGCAACGTGAATTGGCAGCGGCCGCCGCGCCCATAGCGCCCCCCAAAGTGTGTGCGGCGGAGCCGGGGTGCCCGGTCAGTGCCCCCCAGCCGGGACGGTTTACTACAGCTGACGTGTTCGTTCTGTATTCTGCCCGGTCACTGCTGCAGTTCAGACTGAGGGGCATTAACGAGAGTTCAAAAATTATCTTTAGTGTAATAAGGAGACAAATAAAACAGGAAGTTAATTATTTTACTTCTGAGAGTCCTGTCTTTGAAATGACGTCATCGTTTGCTTTTAAAGAGAATGTACCACCCAATGCGTGTATTAATCGGTTTTGCACAAATGTAAACCCTGACTGACCCAAATATGCAAAGACACATTCTCAAGTCATCCAACCCTGCTCTGGGATAAAATACTGTTGCAGAAACACTACTTTTTAGCAGAGCTCTTTGGAATCTGGGTCTAAGAGAAGTTCTGAGGGTATAAGTTGCAATATGCCATCATTTGATATCACCTAGATTTCTGGCAGCCTTGTTCAATAACATGGAGAAATAACCCAGGGCCGTCTGCTGAAGGATGATTACTTGGTTATGTCCAGGTGTGAGGTAGTCACTACTTCTCAAGGGAGACAGTGCCACCACCATTGGGCAACCAGTCACTTGGAATTTCTTCGTGTATTTGAATAAAATCTCTTCCCAGCTTTGCCTGGTTTCCCCTGTCATGCTGCATCTTGCCTGCCAACTTTGCCAAGGCTGCATCCTCTGCCTAGAATAACTTTCCCGTGCCTTCGCCTGCCTAACTTCATAACTCATTCTATACGGCATTCCCCAGGAAGACGTCAGTCCCTTCCATTGGGAGATCCTATGTCTGTCTTTCGGAGCTCCAAGAAATACCCTGTATGTTATTTCTAACTCTGCACTTATGGAATCGCTTTGTAATTATGTGTGTCTACACTAAATTCTAAAAACTTCTGATGTATGACACAATTTGTGAAGTAATTTATCGGTAAGAAAATACAGTATAGTCAGTTATTGATCACTGTGGCGCTTCTTAGACATAATATTGACCTGTAAGGAACTATTGGGAGTTAGGGGACCATGCTCTAGATCAGGGATTGGCAAACTTTCTGGGAGGGTTAGATAGTAAATATTTTAGGCTCTGTGGGCCACATTGTATCGCAAATACTCAGTTCTACCCTTGCTTGTATCCCATAGCAGCCATAAACAATATATACATAAATTAGGGCGGCTGTGTTTACTGAAAACTTTACTTAGAAAACAAAAGCAGGCCTGGGATCTGATTTGACCCACAGGGGATAGTTTGCTGATCCCTGATCTAGACATCTATTTGAGACATTTTCTTCTGAATCGTTTTTGTGTATCCAGAAGAAGAAATGGTCATTCTGGAGAAAGTTATAAGAGCATATTTCATCCATTCTGCAAACATTAATTGAGCACAGTTAATGTCCAAATACCGTATTGAGGATACAAAGAGAAATAAGGCTCAGTCTCTGCCATCAAAAACTTAGAGGACAATTGGATTGGGGGATTGCAGGGAGAGGCAGTGATGTGCTGGAAATGTTTAATAACCAACTCTCCAGAAAACAAGCCTTGATTTTTAGAGTTTGACAATTTCTCTGAGGTAAATACTTTAAAGTGTCAAATTAAAGCTACCAACTCGAGGTCTGCTGGGTCACAAAACACCTGAAATTTTACCAGTTGGCCCTTACGAGCCAGGATGAGCAAGCTCCAACTGGATAGATAGGCCCCATTTAGAGAAAATCCATTATTCAAACTTGAAATATATTGATAAGAGGTTATTATTCATATGAAAGAATTCTTCCTTGACAAAATGATTCAGTCAGTTCAATCAATCACCAAGAATTTATTGAAACTGACTGGTTAGCTCAGTTTATTAGAGTATAGTGTCGATAACACCAAAGTCCAGGATTCTATCACTGCAACCTGGCAGCCACCAAAAAACCCCAAAATCCGCAAACAAAACCAGAATTTATTGAGTATCCTCTAACAAACCTTAATCCTCTAATTCTGTGCCCTGGAACTTACATCCCTCTGGTGCATTGCACAGAGGACCATCTTTCCACACAATTGACTTGTAAAGACTCTTGTTGTGTGAGGAAGAAGGCTGGAAGAGGAGGAGAAAAGAAAAAGAGTCAGGAATGGCTCCTACTCAGGGACACTTGACTTTGACTTTCAGGGATGTGGTCATAGAATTCTCTCCTGGATCCTGCTCAGAGGGCTCTGTACCGAGATATGATGTTGGAGAACCACAGGAACCTGGTCTCCCTGGGAATCTCCCATTTTGAGTTTAGTATTATCACTGTGTTGGAGCAAGGGAAAGAGCCCTGGACCATGGAGAGCCATGTAAAAATAGTAAGAAAACTGGGTGGGAATGGATCAAAGGTGTGAACACAGACATCTCTCCTAAATGTGTGAACAAGGAATTTCCACTGGTGACAGGGAACAAGGAATTTCACACAGTGACATCGGAAAAACATGGAAACAATGGCCGGGAAGATTTTGCCCATCATCATAGAGTTCATTCTGGAGAAAATTCATTTAAATGTAATGAATGTTTCATGGTCTTCAGTCAAACTTCCCACCTTTTAGAGTATTACAGAATGCATACTGGTGATACACTTTACAAGTGTAATGAATGTGGCAAAGCCTTTAGAACACATGCAAGCCTTCTTAGGCACCAGGTAACCCATACTAGGGAAAACCCTTACAAATGTAATGAGTGTGGCAAGGTCTTCAGTCGCAATTCATACCTTGCAATTCATGGTAGAAGTCATACTGGAGAGAAACCATGTAAATGTAATGACTGTGGCAAAGGCTTCTGTCAAACGTCAAGCCTTATAAAGAACCGCAGAATTCATACTGGAGAGAAACCTTACAAGTGTAATGAGTGTGGCAAAGCCTTTAGAGCACATTCAAGCATAACTGCCCATCAGCTAATTCATGCTGGAGAAAAACCTTACAAATGTAATGAATGTGGCAAGGTCTTCAGTCAAAGTTCACACCTTTCAAGTCATCATAAAATTCATACTGGAGAGAAACCTCACAAATGTAATGAATGTGGCAAGGTCTTCCATCGAAATTCACACCTTGCAAGTCATTGGAGAATTCATACTGGAGAGAAGAAGCCTTACAAATTTAATGAGTTTGATAGGGTCTTCAAGCACAGTTCAGTCCTTGCACAACATAAGATAATTCGTTCTTGAGATCATCCTTGCAAGTGAGTGGCAAATTCTTCGTCATGAGTTCAAGTATTAATTGAGATCACAGTTTACACTAAAGAGAAATCATATAACATGAATGTATGTGGCTTTACCTAGGTTTCACAACTCACTGGACATCAAAATACACATTTTCGATGAAACCACAGAAATGTAATGTGCATGCTGAGGCTATTACCAAAGGACCAAAATTGTAGAACATCAGGGGATTTATACAGGGCATAATTCACTCTCTAGTTCTCCAAATTAATATCTGATGTTGCATACCACAAAATAGTTAAAAGTCAAAAAATGTTAAAATTCATGACATGATATATGTTAGAGGTACCAGGACATTTGGAAATGGTCAATTACCTTGAGGTTATAAAATATTTTATTCAATTATTTAAGGTTTATTGAAAAGGATTTATGACTTTCAATATGAACTTTGAAATTTGTTGATATTATGCATCCTTACACACCTTTCGTGATGGTACCTGGGCAAGTGTCAATAGGATGGAGGGGCCTACTTTATTAGGTGAAGGTTATTTTTTATCTAAGTTCGTTGCCTAACTTCCTAAGTTCTCTGCCTTTTAAAATTAAATATTGTCTGAATTAGAGAGCATGGAAGTGAGGCAGAGAGTAATGTAAAACTGTGATGTCAGTCATCGTGCTTTTTCTGTTCAGAGAAGGGCACCTTGAATAATAGGGAAGAAAATAATAGGTGAGCTCTACCAGCTCGCCATGAAGTACAGCAGGCCAAGGCCTTAGGAGACGGGGATATTTATCGTATGCAAGTAACATGTTGTTAGAGACTAAATATGTGTTAGAAATAATGCAGGGGAAATGGTGGCTTCTTTCTCCATTGAAGAGCAATAGCTGTTGCATATTAAAGAGTGGTAAAAAAATTAGTCTTATGTTTGAAATTGGAAAGAAAACACTTACCACGGTGGAGAGTTTAATTAAAAAACCAGAATAATAGCATGTTCTTGAGTGGGATTCACATTTAACTGTTGGCATTACATTTTTCTTTCTTTTTTTTTTTTTTCCTTTTTGTCTTTTTTCGTGACTGGCAACGGATCGCAACCCTCAGTGTCGCGCCCGTACCGGACCAGGACCGGCAACGGGATCGCAACCCTTGGTATTGCGCCCGCACCTCGCTCAGCCAGTGAGCGGCCAGTCTGTATGTGGGATCCGAACCCTCGGCGGGAGCGCCGCCGCACTCCCAAGCGGCGCACTGTAGCAGTGCGCCACCGGGCCGGCCCCGGCATTACATTTTTCAACTGTTTTATTCAGTGTATGATAGATCTCATGCCTTAATAAAATTTAAACTTTTTATAGTTATGAATGAATCGTATTTTTTCTACTAACATTTTATCTCATTTCAGTACAATACTTCACAACAGAGAACAACGATTAGGCTCTTAAGTTTGAAGGATCTATAACTTTTTTTTTTTCTTGAAGTCGATCAAGATATAATTTTGGGAATATATACTTATGCAGTGCACTTGAATTATTTTCTCTGCCTTGGGAAGCTTACGAGGGTGTTATGAAAATGCAGTAACAGTGCAACTTCAGAATCTTACACCCTAAAACCTGCAGCATTGTTGATGAACATGCATTGTATTATTATATTTCCACATGCCTCTTTTTTTGTATGCCAAATAATACCCATGGTGTGCACCTTGATTTACATGTGAGGAAAATACAAATATAGTAAGAAAATGAAAAATATTATGAAATATTAAAAAATGTGGGGAGTAAGGATAATATTAATACCATCTCTTTTTAGTCCTTGCACTGCTCTGTGAACTAATTTGAAAAATTCAATGTAGTTGAATGTTCTCTTAAGATTGAACATACAGCATGGGAATTTTGTTTTGTTCTGGTAGATAAACTAGAAACTTCACAATTCACCTTCATAACATATTGGGTAATTTGAACTTGTAACAACTTTACTGGAGCTGTATTGAACTCCACCTAAAGTTCGGTTTGAATATCGAGAATGATGATTTTATACACTGAAGTGTTAGGAAAATGTTCATTATGTAAAGAGGCTTTCTGAGGAAAGCAGGGTTGACTCTGACCCAAACATGGCTTGTGAGAGCAGGGAAAAGTGACTAGGGTGTTCTGTTTTGTTAAAGGGTGGGTTTGGGGTGGTGATACCCACATGTGGTTTGAACTCCCAGCTGGTGCCAAAGGAGAGAGCACTCAGGATTATTACCATCTTGCCCAGATGGGAAGCACAGGAAGACGGAGTTTAGAGGTGTGAAGGGTTTTAGTAGTCAAAACGTCACAAATGGAGTCTGACTACCATAGCACAATGTGATTGTTGAAAATGTTTGTCCAATACTGTTTAACTAAATTGCCTAAGATATTTTTACACTTGTTCAATGAAAATTGTGTGGAAATTATTATATAATATATATGATTAAGCACTTAAAAAATTCAATACAAGGCAGCACATATGTCAAATAAGTAGAATAATTAACATGCAGTCATCATGTTACTCCCCTACTCAAAATTCATTGTAAACTCCCCACTGCCTGGAAAATAAAGCCTAAACTTACCTGTGAACTCCAGGCCTTCCACAAGTGAGTCCTCGTCTCTTTCAAGCGTCACTCCTGTCACTCTGTATACGCTCTCCCTTCCAGTCAACCGTGCTTGTTACTACCTCTAGAGGCACAGCTAGAGGAATGCTCGCCTCTGATCGTTCCTTCAAGTCATTACTGCCCCTCCCCACTTGTTCCTATTATTGCTACCTCCTCTCTCAAACCTTCCTTGAATACTCAAGCCTCCAGAATCTTTTTTTTTTCTCTGACCTTCGGTCAATATAATTATATTGGCACAATTCGCTATGTGTAGTATAGCTTCTGTTTTCTTAAACTGCTTCTCCTGCTACCAGTCTAACTTATACCCTCAGGAACTCTGGCCTAAGTTACAGCAATAACCTCCTACGTATTCTCCTGCCCCAGTCTGAAGTTTCCATCCTCAAATCTTATTTTCTAGTGATGCCATGTGTTGTCTTTCTAGAACTAAGCTTTGATCATGACACCTGCTTGAAAATTTTCAATAACTCTCACCAAAGTGTTGGAATAGTGTCTAACCTTTGTGGTATGGTGTCCAGGGCCCTTTCTGACCAGAAGACCTGCTTCTCACTCATTTCTTATTCTCAACCAAACCAGTCAACTAAGCTTCCAGCATGTCTTACCATTTCTTTTCTCAAACCTTCAACACAACGTTTACCACAAGTAGAAATTCTTCCCCTTTGTTTCGGCACCATCATTTTACCCATCCTGTAAGATTCTAGTAAAATGTGACTTTCCCTAAATATTTTTCCCTGATAACCTTTTCTGGATCAGAAATATTATCTAAATCCTCGATATTCCCATATAGCTTTATTACCTTTTTGATGTCACTTATCACATTGTTTATATTATACTTGTACACATATCACCTTTATTAGACAAGGTCCTTAAGAACAGGGATTAAGTGTTAATCATCAGTCATACCACACAGTGTCCAGCCTGATTTCTTGGTATGAGAGAGCATTTACTGTAGAACTGAACTGTCATGTTTTCCACTAGAGAGGAAACTCATTTAGAGCAGTAGATCGTATTTTCTACTCTGTTGTGTCTCCCAATGTTTATAGTATAGTGACATAGTTAGACAGAGGCATACATACATGCTTTGGAACTTATTTGCTTTACAGTAGAAGTTCAGAAGAAGGAAACTATTCACTCTCTACTTGGGGTGGGGAAAGGCAGGAGAGTCAGAGAAAGTTTTTTAAGGAAACGATTTGAGCCAGGCCTTAAGGAATAGATATGATTTTAAGTGTGTTGAGAGGAGCAATGGAATGAGAAAGATGCAGTGGTGGGAGATAGACACTTCTAGAGTACTGGTCTCAAAGTGGGTCCACAGTGTAGGAAGAGTCCACGAATCTCCAGAGCTTCTTCAAATCAAAGGGAGTAGAGTAAAAAGCTCAAAGTGTTTCTGAGCCTTAGGACTGGGGAAGAGGTGGTGGTGAGGAGGTGTTTATTAATTTGCCAACTAAAACCTTAGACCATTGGGTAGAATGTACAAATACATCCACATCCACCACAAACTTTGAATAAAAGTTGCCAAGTAGGATCCCACAGTCTTGGTGCTGTACCAGGCACCGCATGATATGCAGAAGCAGAGAGAAAGCTGGCAGCTACACAAGGTGAGACGTAGCCAGTCTCTCTGAAGAACACAGCTGAGGTTCTTATTTAGGTCCAGTCTCACTATTTTTTTTACTTTTTATTTTGAAATAATTACAGACTCACAGGAAGTTGCAAAAATAGTACAGGGTGCTGTGTATCCTTCCCCCAGCTTCCCCCAATGGTGACATCTTAAATTGTTGATGCATAACATCAAAACCAGGAAACTGACATGTTAACTAGACTACGGACTTGACTCAGTTTTCATCATATTTTTCGGCCTGCATTCATGTATTTATTTATTATTTATTTATTTTTAATTGGTTATGAATATTCATGAGATACAAAGCTGTTCCCCCCCCCCCTTGTGCCCTAGATGTGAAGGCCAGATCTGTACTGGCAGCATGCCCATTACCACAAATTGCGATTTTACCCCATGTCCCCTCCCCAGTTATCCCCCCTCCCACCCCCCCCTCCC